TTATTGTTACTCCTTCTTTCTCTGAGGTCAGTGTTTACAGCACTTTCTAAGGGACAAATAGATGCCAAATCATGGATTACCCATGGAGGACAAATAGTGGTTTGTATGGTAGTATGGCATCCTGCTTGCATTGTGGTAAGAAGCAAGCTGTTTGTGCCACATCAGTGAGTTCTGAGGGCAGTAATACTGATTTTCTGTAGTTCCTGTAGTGATTCGTTATGATATTAGTTGACAACCTGATAGCTTCACCTTCTATAAGTGGGTAATTTATATGAAAATTCCAGTTTTCCATTTAAAATTTAAACAAGCTTCCAGTCTTCATGGGTGGAGAAACAGACAGGACATGTGATTTCAGTATATCACTTAAATCCAAAATCAAAAAGTAGCCCCTTTCCCTGCTCTGGTACTGACTGAGCATTTAAACCCCTTATTCCCTCTCCTCCCTTAAAATTCCTGGACCCTGCTCCAGAATTTTGGAACTGCTGAAGTTGAAAGTGTTAGAGAATACCTTTCAGGTGGTTATATATTTTCTGAAATTCTGTTTCCACTTTTAGTTTTCCTTTTTTTCCACAATATTCCCAGTTATTTTCTTTTCTCAAATTAAGGTCCTTGCCAACATTTTTTTCAGTGTGAGTTTCTCAGTCACTTTGGCTCTGTTTTTGGTTCTTCAGGTTGGAGCCCTACAATGTGCCTGTTCTGGACATCCAGTCTGCCTTCACACTCAGAGTCATAGTCCTTTATTTTTGAGCCTGATAGACTGGTTCTTTCTGCCCAAGACTTCTGATTTCTCCTTGATGTTTTTAGCCTGAATTTCTTCACCAAAGTACATTTATTTGATTTCTAGTTAGAAAGTATAAGATAAATATGTAGTTGAGAATTGTTTTGGTTTTTTGACAACTAACATAGAAACTTGTCATATTTATCTGATTTCTTGTATTTCTTCTCAGTTTTGGTTTAATTTGTAGGAATGTTTATGGGCAGTCAAAAGTGAAAGTAAGGAACTGTGGTGAAAACATGAGAAAGAGACAATATTGTATGTAAAAACATAATGGGCTGTAAGTGATGAGACATGGTGGATTCTGTGGATAGTAATTTTGGGTATGTAAAATCCTTTATTTGTCTGGAGATTGTGCTTAAAGTTCATATGAGATAAGCTGTGAAAGCTGACTTGGCATTTAGCTCATGTAGGCTTTTTGCAGAGGGTGACTTTCACCCAAACATTTTACCATAGTTATGTTATATTTCTGATGATCTTGTCCTGGTATGTAAAATACTACACTATACTCTTTAGGATGGGAAGTTGGTGGACAGGACAGTGGGCGTGAGTTGGAAGCTCCCATGTTTTACACTGGAGGAAAATGACTGTGGATGTCATAGACTTCATCACAGACAGTCCAGAGATGATGTATTTATGTACCCATAAAGGTGTTAGTGATCTGCAGATGACGGGTCAAATCCTCTCATATTAGGGGAACTGGCAGCTCTCTAGTGTGCTTCTGGCCCTGGGACAGGCGTGGATGGCCGCTGAGAAACACTGCGTTTGTAGGGGGTACAGAGCTGGTTTAGCAGGCATAACACCTTGTCTTTTCCACAGCTAGTACTGAGGGAACACTGGAAGGGAGAAGTCATAGGTTCTTCTGTGCCTGTTAGTCCTTGCTGTCGTGGTATCCTTTGCAGAAGCCTGAGCGGAACAAAATGGATGTGGGAACTGAGGATTACAGGGGTTGTTGAAAGCTTTGTCATATCTTTGTTGCCCTGAATCGTTTGCTGTTGGGTTCGTAGAGCAGATCTGAAACACTTTCTTATGTGCTTACTATTGGTTTTGTTTAGTATCTCTGTTTTTTCCTTCCTTGTTTTCCAGCTTGCACCTGTTTTTTGTTTTCTAAACATAACCCTGAGGTTAAATAAGTGCCAGAGATACCAGAGAGAACTAACAGTGCTAAATAGTACTTTTTCAACAGTGTTTATTGTTGCAGTGACAAGGTAGCTTGCACATTTCTAAACTGCTGATAAGAAATCGTAAAAAGAAGCTAAAGGTCTACAGTAACTAAAAACATGGCTTTGTTTTCTTGCTGGTCATGGAAAAGTACTTTCCCCCCTCCCCAGTAGGTGCTTTTTAGGTAATACATCGCAGATTCTGGCACCATATAGTCCCTCCCAATGTTTTGTTTTCTTTAACAAGTTTTGTATCAGAAGTGAAAATAATTTTGTAGTCCTTTTATTTGTGACAAAATGGGCCCTAAAATAGGTATCACTTCATGGCTACCAAATGCTGTGCCTTGACACAAATGCCATGTAGAAACATGTCACCCCTTTCAAAAGGTTAATTGATATTTCATGATCTTGAATGTCTTCTGAGTAAACATGACCATAGCCAAATACATGTTACATTTTTCTTTCAAGAAAATAGTCAGACCATTTTGAAGCCTTAAGGCAACATGCTATTTGTTAATCAAAACTTGTTCTCATACAGCTATATTTAAAACAGAAAAGACACATGAATCGTACAGGAAAACAAAGTAATTTTAAGGTAAAGCAATATAAAAAAAGAGTTATGGCTGCTGTTCAGCTATAAACTCAGGCCACTGTGCTGCCACATATATTGTATTTGTTCTGAGCCCTCTACAATATTCCTGGATAGATGTGTATTAAAAGTGAAATAGAAGACATAAATTTGAATTTCTTTACTTTTGATGGTTTGTTTTTTTGTGCTACATACAGTACACTGTTTAACAGCTTTAGAAAAGTCTTAAAAGTCAGGATATTGTTCTTTTCTCTAGTGGCATGTCTAAGGCTTGGTTTCCATACTACCATAATAAACTGTTGAAGTAACTGATAGAAAGTCCTCTCTAAACTGAGGAGTATGGGGCTTGAACCTTAGTGACTGCTGTATGAAGAGCCATCACGTTCCAGAGCTTGCTCACAGTCTCCGTGTTTGACCTTAGTGATCAGGTGTTTTATCAAAATAGGCGGTTCTGTTCCCTGTTGCCTGCTTTGGGCTGCTCCCATGACTAGCCTGTAAGTCAGCATTTGGGTCCTTCTCTGTTGACCATTGTCAATTTTGATAGGGTTCTTTATCTGAACTGAACTTCCTTCTTGATCTAAAACCTAGAGTAAGGCAAGATGCTAAAATCTTGATGCTCCTGAGAGAACCAGAGGTAATTATTTCACTTAATTTTATTGAAATTTGTGGAGAGAAAAATGTTTTCCACCTGTGTCATTCTGCTGGAAGATTCCCAATACTGGCCAGCACAGGGGCTCAGCAGACTTGTCTATTACTGTGATTGACTTGAGCACATCCACAGAATCCACTTTGGATTGTACTGCACTTTTGGGTGGAATGGGCAGTGCCCTATCATTTTCATCAACCAAGATGTAACCAGGTTAGAGGAAATCAAAACAGAGAATTATGCGTAAAAATTAATCTGCTTTTAGAATTTATAAAACTTGTCTTTTAAAGCATCTTTAATTCATAGGCTGTGGGCATACTGCTACTAAAGCTACGCCTACCACAAAATGAGCTAGACCAGATTTACAGCATTTTGACTGTGTCCGTTTGTGTTGTGTGCATGTTTTCATTGATCTGATTAATGTGTAAACTTCCTTATTTTTACCACAGAATGAAGCCTGAATAGGGGCATTTATTGCAGAGCAGCTGGCAGATTGCAGGCTGACCTGCTGAAGTTCTTCCTACTGTTCCTATTGCTGTACACAAAGTCAGTCTGAGACTGTCTGTGCCTTTCTGTTAACTTTGGCCTTAGCTAAACTCCCTAACCATCTTGGACTGGCAGTGGTGGTTAATAGGTCATGATATGTAATTTTCCTTTCTGTATGCTTAATCATATGGCTTTCAGTGTTTGTTACATAATTGGTATAATATCGATGCAATATACAAAGAAATGCACTGTAACACATTAATGTGTAAATGTAAATGGTAAGGCTGCAATAATTTTTGGAAATTCTGCCTTTGAGCTGTGCCCATTGAAGATGTTTCTGCCACTCACTTTCTCTCCTGTCTTTCAATCTAGAGATTACTGTCAGTGTAGGAGGCAGGGCATGTGTTGGCCCCTCTTCTGTTCACAGTACAGTGCCTCTGGGACAGCTTTGTGCTGTTGATGATTTTAGCTGAATTGTTGGACTGGTAAGAGATTTACTGCGATGTGGCTTGCTTTCACTTTTACCAAGTCAGCCACAATATTTACTAGCAGAGTGGAGACACTAGATTAAAAACAACTGGTATGCAAATTAACTTGCCAGATAGGTATGACATTATATTTCTACTTTTCTTTATTCAAGAAGGCCAAGGAGGTTATTTCATGAAAGACTTGTAGTTATGTTGTTGCGTACTTCATTTCTGCGTGAGCTATAACTTGATAATGTTTGAATATCATATCACTTTAGATTAATGATTAAAAAGCAATTTGAAATGTATTTTTGTGTAGCTTTCTACTAAAAATTCTGTTGCTCACATGCTTAACTGGTTTTCGGCTTTTCAGTAGTAACAAAAAGCAGCACAGAATTATTTTTGTCATTAACATCTGTATATGGTAGAACACACATGACTAGATCTGTTGATTAAGAAATTACCATTTTTAGCTGGTTTACCATTTATTGGTAATTTTTTTCTTTTTTCTAACAGGAAAATAAATATGAAATAAAATTGCATCTGCAACTTTGCTGATAAACTTCCACAAGGATGGGGAAACTAACTTGTTTTGGATCCTTAGTTGTATTTTATGGGTTGGCTCCAGCAGATCTGAGGCATATGAAGTTCTTTTATTTTGGGTGGTCACAGGCAGTTGGAACCTATATATTTTGCAAGAGAGAGAAGCAAATCTGTCTTGCAGTCCAGGACAATTTGCAGAATGTGCATTGTATGAAAATGCTTAACGTTTGTAGAGCCTGACATCGTGTTCGCTGACACAGACCTTTCACAATATTGAAAGTTGACCTGAGTGCTTCTGTACCATCTGATTGTAATCTAAATCTGTCTTTTATAGCTTGAAACAATTGGATGGCAGCTTAATCTTCAAATGGCAGAGACCATGCAAGCAAAGCTGAAGTCTCCTCGAGCTGTACTAGAGCTGGGAGTGAGCAATGAAGATTCCAAGGTAAGAAATACATGCCTGGCACAGCTGGAATGAGTTGTGGTGATGGCCTTACGTTTGAAATTCTGAGACATTACGTGGAACTCTTCATTATTGTTAGTCTCGACAGTGTTTTCATTTTTATATTTCATAAAATTGTAGTAAGCACTGGGAATTGTGAAGTACTGATGTAATAGCATACTTATTAGGTAGACTGACAGCTGAAAGCTGTGTTACCAGCTCTTCGGGCTGTAATGTAATAGAACAGTATAGAATATGGTTATTTTAGGTCCCTAAAATATCTTTGTAGATAATTTATTTTTATCACATGGCATATGATTGGTGGTACTTACACTTTTAATGCCTAGTAGCTTGCAGCCTTCTATCATGCATGTAGTTATGTAAGATATTACTCACCCCTTGCAACTTTTCTGTGCTAATGATGTATTTATATGAATGATGACATAGTATGCGAGGCCACAGGAAGCTAATATTTGGAGGTTTTAAGGTAAAGTTTAGCGATTTTAGTGACTGGTGGTGTTTCGGTGCCAAAACCCACTAATGGACATAATTTTTTTATTAATAAAATCTGTATCTTTTGTTACCTAGCATGTTTTAAATTAAACACATGAATTGCTTTTAACCTTATCTTGCTAACGGAAATTGGAGCCTTTACTTCTGTGGTGTCTGTCAGAATGTTTATGAAGTCAGTATAAAAGATTTGAGGAGGAAAATCAGAACTCAGTTCTGCTTCAGCATTGCATTTAAAGCACAGTAATTTTACTGAGTGGAATTTGTGATTTATGGTAGAATAAAAGAGAATACACAGCTTATGTTTATGCTTCTCACAAGGACTCGCAGCAGTTGTATTTTTTTCAGCAGTTCACTGCAAGCTGCGTTTTTGAAATGCAAATACAGGTACCAGACAATATTTTATGTCCAAGCTGCACTGGGCAACGCTGCATACAGATTCAATTCTGTGGCAAAACAATTTTTAAAAAAGAGAGGAAAAAATGCAATTTTCACATGACAGGGAAAGTTCATCTGTTTCCTTTACAAGCAGAATTCAGCAAGTGGATTTTTTGGATTGTTTCCTCTCTGTTTCTTTTTGTGGGTATAATTAGATACCAAGATCAGAATTATTTTGCAGTAATTACAAGCCTAGAATAGACTTGTAACTGGCATTTAGATATAACAGTGCAACAAGACAAACATACTGATGCTCTCACACTACAGACGCTTAAAGTTTAAAAATCTGGGTTGGTGTGAAGGTAACTACAGGTTTTTTTTCTGAATTATTACATCTTAGTATAGAATAGGTTTAAGATTGGCTAATATCTACTTCTCTATTGGCAGAAGTGTTGGAACATAATTTTTGTGCTGTATTTTGCATCTTCATGATCGATTTGTGCACTAAGTGTTGCCTGAAAATCCTAGATACTAGATTTGTTCTTTTTTTCCTCCCTAAACTTATGTGCATGCCTTTTGTGCAGGAATTTGGCATGAATTTAGCATATATGTCCTTAATGATTGTCTTGATTTCTTCATTTCTCATGAAACCTTTTCATATCTCTCTCTCTCAATTAATGAATATAATAACTTGATTTTTTTCAGGAAAGACAAAACGCTGTTAAGAGAGGAGCTTTTGTGGGCTGGCTCATTAGGGGGCAGTAGTGCTCTTTGTCACACTGGCTCTGAATGCGTTTTTGAGATAATACTTGGAATCAATGCTGAATTCAGTCGTTGTGGGAAGTGTTAAGTGTTCACATTTCTAGTCTGTATATAACAATAGAAGTTTGTCTTGCTCATCTGCAAAACTGAAGCCTATTAGTAAGAAACCCCATAACTGAGCAATGTGGATGAAATTGGCAGTTATTTCTACTTTTGCTAATGAAAAGTAATTGTACTAATACGTTAATGTTTACTACAACTCACTCTACTTAAAGAACATTTAAGCAGTTCTTTGGCAGAAGCTGACATTTAAAATTAGTATTTAAGTTATCTCTCCAGAAGAGGTAATCAGAAAACCTGTGGATACATGCATGTTGTTTGTGCTTCATGAAATAAAAAAAGTTAAAGGATCCGCTATATAAATATTTATAGAGTATATTTTGTCAGCTTCAGGTGAAATGCAGAGTCCCATAGGTATTATACCATCAAAATTCAAAAGTCAGGTGATCTTTGGTTCTTTCAGGTCATTCAAACTGCTAGTGACATTTTCTCTGCCCAGGAAATGTGCTGCTTGTGTCTAGTAGCAATTGTGATCCGGTCACATGATTTTTGGTAAACTGTTTTCTCCTGGGTTTTGTTACAAATTTGCTGTTTGCTTAGACTTTGAATTATGCTTGATTTCAATCTAACAAATATTTTACATACGCCATGAAAAGTTTGACACCATGCGGGTGATTAGGTACAGGAATGAGTTACCTGGAGAGGTTGCAGAGTAGCTAGCCTTGAAGATACTCAGAAGTCAACGGGATAAACCTCTGAGCCTCCTGACTGAAGTGTAGAGTTAGCCCTGCTGTGAGCAGGCGGGTGGATCAGATGGGCTTCCAAACCCTGCCTTCCAGCCCAAGTTGTCCTGTGATCTAGGCTGCTTTGCAGCTCGGTTGCTGATGGTGTTTTGTATGAGGAGGAGAAAAAAAAGGAGTTTTCAATTAAAAATCCAATTAACGGTGGCTTCTTACAATGATTCAGAATTTGAAATGTTTAATTGCATTTCTGAATCTGAGGGAAGTGGAATTTCGATGAACTAGGCACGCAAAACAAGCTGGTATGATAGGAAGCATCTTTTTGAACTGAAAGATCCTTTTGCTTCCATTCTGACATTTTAATGAGCTAAGGTGACATTTAGAACTGATGTGTAAGATATCGGCTGTGTGTAAGGGTTTTCTTTAATAAAATTTGGTTTCAGATTTTTTGGGCTGTTGAATTGCAACACAACAATCTGGGGATTTTTTACATACTTATTATTTTTATGGCTGTAGGGTGAATTAACCAGTAGAGGGAGCACAAATTAACAATCCTGATAATCTGTGCTGCTAATTATGATTTTGATTTGCAAACAAAGACTGATCCCCAAAAGTGCTGTGTTTATTTAATATATGTTTCCTTCATTAACTGATTTAATAATTATCCACATAGGCACACACTTGCACATTCTTTCCTGCTGCTAATAGCAGCAATTCCTTAGGCCGTCTAGTCCAGACCTTTCTCAACAACTGTGATGATTTTCTATAACCGTAGGAGCCATTAAAAAAAAAAAAATTGTAGTAAAGGCTGTAGAAAAGGTCTGAGGGCTTCAGTAATGTTACATCATTGGTGCCAAACATCTCCGCAGAGGAATGCGAGAAGAGTGTGTTCTTAAAGAATTTCTGCTATGCCTTTTCACTAGGATGATATAGTAAGGCACATTACTATACAAGGTATTTATTATTGTGTATTTTTACCCATGGTCTGTAGTTAACATTTATGCTTGAAAATCATTAGTATTTTCTTGCCCAGTGTTGTCTCTTGATAGTTACCCATTTTTTCTGTAAATCCATTCCACAGATTTCATTAGATTCAGTTATCTAATTACAATTTGTTCTATGGAAGGCTTTGCTCTTTTCGTGGCTTTCCTTCTCTTTATCTCTTCTATGATTTTATTCTTAAGCATTAAGGACTTCTTGGGGGAGCTTGTTTTTTTCAGTGTGAATGCTATGTATAGATTCCTTGTGACAATTCCATACTTCTTTGTACATGTATTTGAAGAATTTTGTTACAGGATTTTGTCTGCCAATAGGAGACAAAAAATAACTGATAAACATGATGGTTTGTTAAACCTGCTAATGTAATACTTTTGACAAAAGAGAGGTAATATTAAAATGTTACTATACTAATTTAATAGTATTTCCTTTTAATACATTCCCCCTAACTTCTAGATGCTTTAAAAGGGGAATATAGCAATGGAAATATTTTAAACTATTTTTTTCTGAAACTGTTCAAAATCAAAATGGGGCACTACTGCATTTGAAACTGAGATTGTAACACATACTCATCATTCTACAGAGTAAATGGAAGTCTGGAAATCTTAAATTACTATTTTTTACTTGTTAAGATAAGAGGACATGTTTTTCTTTTTTTTTCCGCTCCTAGTTTTTACAGACTTTCTATACATTTCTGGACTGTGAAAAAATCTAGATCTTAGACGCTTTTCTCTGTTTACTTAAATTAGTATGCCATTCTGCTTTCTAAGTTTGCCATTGTGAATACTTTCCCCATCTTTAATAACAAAGCAGAGTAGATGAGAAATAAAGCTTTTCTTCTAGTGGAGCTAGGTCAATCACTCAGTTCAGGTTGCAGATTCTGTGCAGCCTGTATGGCATGCAGGTAGGACCTGCGCTTGGATGGATATTAAAGGAAATATGGTGGTGCTTCCCCTTCCCCCTCAGTTTAGCCTTTTGTTTACCTCTGAAAAGAAGTTATATTTCTGGAGAGGCATAACAGTGGGAGTTGGTGGATGCTAGTGATATGTTCCCACTCCAGAGAGGTAGGAGGTGGTAGAGCTGAGCATCTATACCGTGATGTACCCCCTTCATTTGCCTTCTCAGCCCTCAGCTTTGGGGTGATGCATTTATGTGCCTTTTTTTTTTTTTTTTTTTTTTTTTTTTCCAAAATAGGTGAGTAATTTGTATCCGTAAGGCCTCAAAAAAAGAGAACAATTAAAAGACATGATGCTGTTGTGGACTGTGGTGAGTTGCAAAGACTAAACCATTGTAAATTGCTTTTTGCATTCATCAGCTACCTCTCAACGACCTTCTGTTCTGATGAGGACACCCTTGGCCTTCTCAGAACACAAACAAGCTTGCATGTTGAGTTTAGTCTTCTCAACAAGCAGATTTATAAGTCTCTAGCAATTGCAAAAACTAAGTAGGACAGGCCTTGGATAAATACAAAAATGTTTAAGCATTGGATTGAGAGAAAAGGTTTTTTCATTCCTATTTAGAGGAGGTAATTGAAGGCCTGGATAGCCTCAGATAGCA